AGTAGTAGTAGTAGTAGCAGCAGTGCAGAACTCTCCCCCAAGCCCTAAACCCCCAGACCTTTAACCCAAGCTCCAAACTCCACATCTACTATTGTAAAACCCCATAAGCCCCGAAGACTTTTCAGGCTCCCGAGCCGCGGCCCCGACCTCAGAAGCCGCGCGTTCCGCGGGAGCTGCTGGAAGGAGACCCGGGCCCGGTCTATTGCAAATTCTGGCATGTTATGGCATGTTGTGGTGTAGTATGGTATGTTTTGGCTTATTGTGGTATATAACATGATATAGTGTGGTACACGACAGGACATGGTAGTATGCTATGGGATATCAAGGCACATTACAGCATATTCAAGCATATTATAGGACAATACTGTTGATTACGGTGTGTGTGTGTGTTTGTATGATTTTGTATGTATGTATGTATGTATGTATATATATATATAGACATATGCATGCACATAGAAGTGCATTAGAGTATGTGGAGGTGGAGTTCTGCCTAGATGATGGTAGAGTTTTGAGGCTTAGGGGAGCTTGGGTTTGGTGTTTCTTCTTGTGGAGGTGTCTCCTTCGGGTTCTGGGCCCTACACCTAAGCCGCTCCCCCCTGTTCCTGTACCTTAGATTGATAAGCCCGAATCCCGAAATCCGGCAGACCTATAGTGGCTACAGCTACGTGGGTTGAAGTCGGCAATCTCCTTGTTCTTGCGAAGCCCAGCATCTGCTACTCCTTGCTAGAGTGGTGGAGGCATCTTCAGTGTTGCTGAGGTCCATCCTAAGATTCGCAACAACCAGAAGGATAGTAATAGTCAGGGGAGCTCGGCACGCGTTCCATCCCAGAACCTTGGGCCAAGGCGGCCTTTCGGGGGGTCCTCAGGATCCTGCACGTCGATGAGGGCTCCTTGAAGAATCCAACCCCTAAACCCCTTTGAAGCCCTCACCAAACACAAGAAACATCCCTAAACCCTACAAGCTCCATCAAACTCAAATTGAGAGTAAAAGTCCAGAGTCTCGCAGGAGCGTCCGCCATCGCTGGCTGCGCCCGACGGAC